CCTGCCCCTTGGTGCCTCAGTCCTGCTGGGATCACCTGCAGAATGACTTCCCCATTTGAAATCCCATACCTGCCCTGGCTCCCTGCCCTAAGCACCCCCATCCCACCCTGCAGCCTCTTCCAGAGCCCCTTTTCCAGGTGTTTAGGGGTGGGAGGGTGCCTGTCCCTGGTGTCACTGCTGTCCCCTGGCTTTGTCTCTGCCCCAGACCCCTGGTGCCACTTGGGGCACTTCAGAGGGACCTGTCTGTGTGACCTGGGCTCTGTGCTTTGAGCCCTGGGAAGTGAATCCCTGCTTGCCTTGACACCCTGTTTGTTTTGCAGGCTGTCAGTGCATTAGCTGGAGTGCAGGACCAGCTCATTGAGAAGCGTAAGTGCCTTTGTCATTTTGCTCTAAATTTGGGAAGAATTACACTCTCCCCACCGTTCTGCCCTGTCTGGGGTCTGGCTCCCCTGCCCAGCCCCTGTGTCTGCTGCCCTCAGGCTGCTCCTGACTTCCCAAGTTCCTTCCAGGCTCAGAGGGCTTTGTTGTGTGTGAAAAGGATTGAATTTGCTTTGATGCTCTGTGGAGGAAGAGGCTGGAGGAGCTGAAGCCCTGCATCTGTAGATGTGTCAGTCGCAGGAGGCCTGGGGAGGGACCACTCACCTCCATGACACTGAGAAACCTTTTTGTGACCAACACCAAATCAGATGTGGTTCCTCAGTGCTGGGGTGCAGCTCCCTGTCCATCCTGCAGGGCTGTTTCCCTGGCTCTGTGATTCACCTGGTGCTGCTCAGGTGCCTCTGCTGCTGTTCTGGCGCTGTTTCTCCCACTCAGGGCTGTGCCAGGAGCTCAGCCTGGTGCTCACCTGGCTTTGTCCTGCTCTAGGGGAGCCGGGCAGTGGCACAGAGAGTGACACTTCTCCAGACTTCCACAACCAGGAGAATGAGCCCAACCAGGAGGATGCTGAAGAGCTGGATGGCTCCGTGCAGGGTGTGAAGCCTCAGAAAGCTGCTTCCTCCACTTCCTCTGGGAGCCACCACAGCAGCCACAAAAAGAGAAAGAACAAAAACAGACACAGGTCAGTGGGACCAGCAGCCTGCTCACCACACCTGGACAGCTGGCTGGGGCTGGATTGAATTTAGTGCCTGAAGGGAACCAGTAACACGTTGGAATAACCAACAGGCAGCTGGGGTTAGTTTTTTGGGGGTTTTCCTGCTTTTGGAAGAGGAGGGGAGAGTGCTGGGGAAGTTCAACAAGCAGCACAGGGTGCTCACTCCAGCTGTGGCACAGCTGGGCAGCTTCTCCAGCTCTCCCATCTCTCCAGGATAAAGTTTATTCCTTCCAGCAGGTCCTGACCTCCTGAGCTTGCTGCTTGGTTTCTGCAGAGCCCAGGAGGACAGGAATGTTAGTGCTTGCTTTGAGGGAGGGTGGAATGCAAATGAGAATGTTTTTGGGGTTTTGGACACTCCCTGTGTCTGGATTTCCACTCCGGCCTCTTCCAGCTCTCACATCCCAACCGAGTCTCAGTGCTGGCATAGAGAAGTTGCTGTGTCACCTTCACCTCAGAGTGTTTGTTATTAAACTGACCTGAAATTCACGTGGAACAGATTCCTTGAACTCTTTTCTGGTTGGATTTACCTGTCCAGCTCTGCCCTTGGGGCATAATGAGGGCAGTGAGCTGGATCCTGTGCCCTCAGCCAGGCTCTGGCAGTGACAGTGCCTGAGTCAGGTCCTGAGGGAGGAAAACCCTGGAGAGGAGACACTGCAGAGCTGTCTGGAAGGATTGCTGAAGCTGGGGCTTAAGTATTTCATAGAAGTAATGGAGCTTTTAAAACTCTTTTGTTTTAAAAGCTCTCTCAGAGCCAGTCTGTGCTGGCTCTGAGCTGTTTGCTCTGCCTGGCTCTCCTCTTTAAGGGACCTGCCATGCAATTAGAGAAAGGTTTAAAGTGGTAAAACTTCCAAGGGGGGCTGGGGACAGTTGGGATGGGGACGTGAGGTAGGTACAATGCTTGAAAAATGCTTAACTCCTTTTTTGCCTTCATTAAGTGTTGAGTCATTAGCATGTCTTTAATTCTTAGGTCAGAATTTGCTTCCTACAGCAGCCTGAATTGGGCAGATATCCGAAAGGACTGGATGTCCCTTTTGTTCCCCATGAGCTGGGAATCCAAAGAAGTTCAAATCTCTTTTTTTGCCTGTAGATATTTGGAAGAAGTTCAGGAATAACACAAGGAAACCACATCCGTGAACAAGTCCAGAGAAACAACCTGTAAAACTGAAGTACAACTTAAGGAAACTGCCATTTCAAACAAATTATAAAATATTCTCCCTGCACAAACCATGGCCAACAACATGGTGGGGTGCAGGGCAGGTGCTGGAACTGACACAAATCTCTTTGCTCTGGTCCTTGACCTGGACTTAAGGGACAGGAGCTGGGGGGAAGCTGTTCCCCAACAGGTTGTGTGGCTCTGGGTTCCTTCTCATCCCCCCTGTGCAGCTTTGGCTGGACAGAGCAGCCCTGCCCTGCTCACCTGTGGCAGCCTCTGTGTTCCCAAGCCCCTTCAGACACTCCGAGGGGCTCAGCAAGGCAGGAACTGACTGTTTGTAATGTTTAGCAGGGCCAGATAGAGAATTAAAAACCATAAAAAGATCATTAAATTTGTCTGTAATAAAAGCTCTGTTCAAATTGTGATTGCTGTTACTGAGTATCCCCTAAATTTTGGCAGACAAGACCAAACAATTCTCGAATATGTTTAGGTTAAAACCCCTCCAAGCAACAACGTGCAGCGAGGGCATTCCAGGCCCTACAACCCCACAGGTGCTCCAGCCAGACCTGTGGGTCTGTCCCCTGAGGGGTCAAAAGAGAAAAATAAAACAAATGTTGGCTTTTCTCTTTATTCAGAAGCTTTTCCTCTTGCCAGCACGACTCTGGGTTGTGCTGCCCCGTTCTGGGAGGTGCTGGGGAAGGGCCCTGCAGGAGCCTCGCTGCCTTCCCCTGTGGGACCTTTGGCTCCAGGTGCACCCAGGGCCTCAGGTGTGGCTGCAGGGGCTGTGCTGTCCCTCTGCTCCCTGCCACACAGCAAGGCCAGGCTGGAGATGATTTTCTGTGTGCTTGGCTGGGTTTGAGCAAACCCAGTGCTGTTTGCTCTTAGTGCAGTGCTGGAATGGGATTCCCTGATCAGTCCTGCCAGCTGTGGGCACAGCTGTGTCTGGAGGCCACTTGTATGGGGGGTGGGACAGTCCCCAAAGTGCTCAGCTCTGGCCCAGTGTCCCTGGGTACCCCAGCTGGGGACAGCAGCATTGTTGGGGTGTGGGGGGAGCAGCCCAGGGCAGGTTGGGCACCGAGTTCTGTGTCACCTCTGCCTGAAGCAGCTTTGCCTTGCCCTGGCAGCCCAGTTCCCTCTCCAGCTTCCTGACCCCTCACTTTGGTTCCCCAAGCCCTTCTGGGTTCCTGGCAGCTGCCCCTCCTCCAGCTCCTGAAATCCCCTGTGTGACCCAACCCCACCTCTGCTAACACTTGTTCCCAAAATCCAGTGGGGAGGGGGACTCTGCATTGCCAAGCCAGAGAGCTTTTTGTGTCCAGTCCTGGTTAAGATATCTGAAGAACTTGATGGTGTTTGAACACTGGCTTTATTATTTATTTCATTTGATTTTTTTAGCGATCTCGCTAGGGTGGCTAATCAATTAATTGATTTAATTCATTAGTATATTAATTTCTATTGCTTTCTTCCTTTCAAATGCTGCCCCTCAGCCCGTCTGGCATGTTTGATTATGACTTTGAGTAAGTTTGACTTGAATTAGTACTTGTGCTGTGTTGTTAGTGTGTAGACACGATGTGCCTTTTGAGACCTCGCTAACCCCTAGTTTATCTGTTTAATTGTAGGTATGTATATTAGGTTAGGCTGGGAAGTATTTTTTAAAAACAGAAAAGCGTGATGGAGGTAACATTTTATTTAATAACTTCAGCAAATTATAAATTAACTTCACTCTTCTTTACCTTTCTGTTTCATATTTGAATAGATAAAACTTTTTAACTTTAAAACTTAGTTTAAACACTGATTCTTTTGGCTTTGCTGCTTAAGGAGATAAGTATAGACTTGGATATTTCCTTTTGGAAAAATGTACTTAACTCAGTAATTTTGGCTCATATAATCCCTGACATCCTAACTCCTCTCTCTATCCAAGTAAATAACTCTCACGCTATGTCTGGCTAATTACCTGTGGCATAGTTACACCTCTGGCAGATTAAATTAACATAAAGCATGCCTAGTTCCCCTTGTCCACTGCCTAAGTGCCCTGTGATTGATTGTGCCCCTTGATTAACTCTGTCTGGGAGTGGATGGAATCTGCTTTTTGGCAAATAATAACTCGGTTCTCCTGTGCTGCTCTGGTGCCCAGTAACCCTGGGCACAGCCCCTGGCTCAGCCAGCTGGGAGTGGATGGATTAACCATAGTCTCTGTCTAGCTGTGCCCTGTGCAGTAACTCTGGTGTTGGGTCAGGTATTGACATGGACGTTTCTCTTGTCTTTCCAACCACAGGATTGATCTCAAGTTAAACAAAAAGCCAAGAGCCGTAAGTATCCGTGCTCTGTCTGTGTTTTCATTGCTCACTGGAAGGGCTGGCTGACTCACAAGCTTTAAAAACCCTCCTGCTGCTGCTGCTGTCATTTGAGTTTTTATTGTCATGGTTGAGGAGTCGCAGTGTGAGGTCAGCATTGTCCCCTGGCTGTGGCAGCAGCTGAGCCCAGGTCACAGATAACTCCTGTGTGCTTCTCATGGAAAAGGCTGCTTTGCATCCTCTTGTCATGATCTGGAGCATCAAAAGCATCTGGTTTGAGTTGATACTCAAGGTTGGCAGGGTCCTGCTTTTCAATGTTTAGCTACAAGAGAAAGATCTGTTCTGCCAGCAGCTAGTGGTGTGTGAGATGAGAGAGGACTGAGACCCCCAGCTCCAAGAGCACACTCGGAGGTGGGAAGGTGTTAATGTGCATGTGCTGTCCTTTCTCTGCAGGACTACTAGAGCCATCAGTGCTGATGCTCCTGGGATTTAGGTCTGTGACTCCCCACTGAGAAGCCCTGAAGCAGGATGGCAGCTGCAGCAGGAGTGACTCACTCTAAGGGACTTGGATGGGGGGAGGAAATCCTGGACCATGTACTTTGCATCATTTTTAAATCACCTGAGTTGCAGGAGGACAAAGGTGGTGTAGTAGTTGTAGTAGTTCTGAATTCCTGACTGTTCTGTGCTTCCACCTTGGTCGGGAACTTGCTGGAAAGGCTGACACTGCTGCCCCCTGTCACCTGCAGACCCACACAGAGGCATTTCCTTTTCCACTGGAACTGGGCTAGGATTCAGTGTGTCCCATCCATGTTGTGAGACTTAAATTACTTTTGTTGCTGATATTTAGCTTTGCAGGTTTGGGGTTTTTTTTTCTGGTTTTATTTTGTTTGTTTTTTTGTGCCTTTTTTAAAGCTGAAGTGTATAGTTACAAGTTGACTTTGGGTTTCTTTGTTTAGTCCGTGTAGTGGAAGGTTCTTCATTTTGTGGAGCAGCTTTTGATTCTTACTCAAGCAGAGAAGAAGGCAGTTTAACCCTTTTCTCTTTCATTTTAAACACCATCTCCCAATATTCCTCAGTGCATTAGGTGCAGGAAGGGCCAGAGCTCAGTGCCAGCTCTTCACTGTCGCTGACTTTGGGTGGGTTCTCTTTTTAATACAAACCTCTGTCATTTGTACATAAACAATAAAAGTTCCATGTTTGTCTCTTCTCATGGTTTATTCAGTCCAAACTGACTCCTGCTGCTTTTTAGTGTTCACCTGCTTTATGGGGCCTTGCTGGGCTTCTTCCCCTTTGGCACTGGAGCTGTTCCTTGTCCCTGGGTGTTCTCTTGGTGCTTTCTCTCCTGGGGCAGCTGTTCCTAAATTCTGCAGGGAGTGCCAGGCTCTGATTTCCAGCTGTGTTTGGCTGATCCTGCTGCAAGACATGACTGGAATGTCCATGGTTGTGCTGGTGAGGGAATATTGCTGGCAGATCAGGATGAGGCAGCTGGATTGTCCCTGGAGAGAGACAGGAACCATGGCTGGGTGCTTCTTGCAGCAGGCACGTCAGAATCTTATTGCTGCTGTTGAACTGAGCTATGGGGAATTGCTTTGTCAGTGCTGGCATGTGTTTGTGTAACCCCTGCATGGGACAGGGATGTCACTGAGTCCCCAAAGTGTGCACAGCCTGTGGAACAGCTGGGGGTTCAGATGTTCTGCTGCACCTCTGCTCTCCTGTATTTGGGGTCTGGGACTGTGAGGGAGCAGAATTCTGCTTTGGGCTGTGTGTGATCTGGAGATCAAGGCAGCTCTGTGTTTGTTCCTGGAGGGAGCTGGCTTATCCTGCAGGGAGCTGGGACCTGTGGCAGCTCCTCCTCAGGGGGATCAGGCTAGAGCAGCTTAAAGGCCAAGCTGCAAAGCCGGCCTACTTCTGTGTTTTAAGCTACAGTTTAAGTACAGGGGGGTGGAAGATCTAGGAAACAGCATAAACTAAAAAGTCTCACTCCTCCATAGTTCTGGAAAAAAGAATTCTCAGCTGATGGTTTTGGTTCCCTGGCCTTGGTATGAAAACACTTCTGCTGCTGCTGCTCTGAGCAGGGATGGCTGGAGCACCTGGATTTCAGAGGATTTCAGAGGCTGAAGTCTCTGCTGCACCTCTGCCCTCGAGGAAAGCTGCCAGATTTTCTTGGGTGGAACATTTTGAGTGAAGAAGCAGCAAAGGGCTGGTGTAGCTTGGGAGCCTTGTGCAGGCAGGGCCAGCTCTGCATTCCCTGTGACACATTGGGGCGCTGCAGGGACAATGTGAAGTGCAGCCATTCCTGCCCTGGCTGTGTTTGTCACCGAAGGAAGGGACAGCCTGCACATGGATGGGGCAGAAAGAGAAATGGCACACACCTGATTCAGTCAAAGCATCAGCTGTTCCCTGCTGGGTCCTGACTCCAGCAGTTGTGCCTAAAACTCCCATTTGACTTCTGAACACTTCTCTTTTACTTCCTAAAGAGCCTGAGTGACTAAAGATCCCCAGGATGGGCATCGGAGTCAGAGAGGGATGCACAGACTTCACATGAAAGCTAATTAAAGCTAAAAGTAATGATTAGAAATACATCCTGAGTCCTTTGCTTGTGAAAGATGAATCCTGAGCAAAGGAAAGCGCAGAAGAACTACCACTGTCGTCATGGACCCTAAAGGTGGAGCGCTAGGGAAGCGCTAATCCCTGCCCAGCCTCGTCACCAAGAGGATTAGGCAGGAGGAGTTCATCTGGGGGCCGAGGGGCAGGAGGGGCGCGGTGCACGGCTGGGTAAGGGGGCAGCCGGTGGGTAAGGGGGCAGTGGGGAGGGAACGGGGAGGGCAGAGGGGGTCCCGCGTGTCCGCTCCCCTCTCGCTGTGCTGCTGCTCACGGCGAGCCGGGACAGAGCCTGACCACCTTCGGCACCGCTGCTGGGCAGCCCCGGCCGAGGCTGAGCCCCGTGTCCGGCCCTGAGCCATGGCTGGGCCTGATCAGGGTAATGTCCGGCCCGCAGGTGCCCATCATGGGCCGGCACCGAGCCCCGGCCGGGCCCTGCTGGACGCGGCTGCTGCGCGCCGGGGGCCGCTGGGTCTTGGAGCTCTGCGGGACGGCGCTGCGGGGGCTGCGGCGGCTCTGGAGCCTGGCCTGGGTCGGTACCGCGCGGACCCTTCCCCAGGGGGCTCCCCGAACCTCGGCCGGCTCCAAACGGGGCGTGCTGGGGTGCAATCCCCACACTGCTGCGGGTGTTGCAGCTGGGGTCAGCGTGCAATCCCTGCACTGCTGCTGCTGCGGGTGTTGCAGCTGGGGTCAGGGTGCAGTCCCTGCACTGCTGCTGCGGGTGTTGCAGCTGCCTCACCACAGCACCCCGTGCGGGAGCGGCACCCCCGTCCCTTGGGGCTGCGCGGCTCAAGGCTCTGGGCGGGGGCGGTGGTGCCCAGCGAGAGCGCTCTGGACGCGGGGACACCGCTCTACTCAGGGCAGGTGTGAGCCGTCCTCTCGCCCAGGTGCTGCTGATGTGCTACAAGAGCTGCTGGGATGGCGCCTTCCAGGTGACCGAGGAGGTAAAGCCCGGCTGGGAGAGCCCCGGGACAGCCGGGCCCGGTGACAGCGCCTGCTGGGTGGCACTGGGGGGCTCTGGTGCCCACGGACCTGCCCATGCCCACTGTCCGTGTTGGCTTTCAGCTCGGCACAGCCCTGCAGCTGAGACTGGAGGGGAGCGAGGAGGAGGAGGAGGATGTGGACTCGGATTCTGCGTGGCAGCCTGCACAGACAGGTGGGTGCCCGGCCCGGGGGTGTCCCCGGGACTGGCAGTGCCCCGGGGGTGGCAGGAGCTGAGCTGAGCTGTGCTGCCAGGGCAGTGGCGTGGCCAGGGCAGCGAGGCCGTGCTGGCCAGGCTGGAGGCGCTGGAGGCCGATGTCCGATTCCTGTGCACCGAGCTGGGGGCTGAGAAGCTGCTGTGGAGCTCCAGGTTCCTGGAGCTGCTGCGGGAACAGCAGAGCCTGCGCCAGCGGGTGAGTGATGGGGGGAACAGGGGGTGCCAGCCCTCAAACAGCCCCTGTGACCCCCCAGACCCTCACACCCTGCTCCAGCTGCAGGAGCTGCCCTGGAACAGCAGGGACAGCCCCGAGCTGCTGGGGGAAGCAGAGGACCCAAGTGCCAGTGGGAGTGAGGGAGAGAGCCCAGAAGGTAGGGAATGGGAATGGTGGAGGGAATGGGAATGGTGGAGGGAATGGGAATGGTGGAGGGGCTCGGGGAGGCAGTGGTGAGGAGGGGGCAATGTATGCTGAGCTCTGCTTTGGGCAGTGTGGGTGATTCCCCCAGCTCCCACCTCTGTGACCGTGTTCACGGGGGTCTGAGGATGAGGGAAGAGATGAGGATCTGACTCCATGTTTCAGAATATTTATGATATGTATCACATTAAAACTATACTAAAAGAATAGAAGAAAGGATTTCATCAGAAGGCTGGCTAATAACAGAATAAAAGAATGAATAACAAAAGCTTCTGTCTCAGACAGAGTCCAAACCAGCTGACTGTGAATGGCCATTAATTACAAACATCCAACCAACATGGGCCAATCACAGATGCACCTGTTGTATTCCACAGCAGCAGATAATCATTGTTTACATTTTGTTCCTGAGGCCTCCCAGCTTCTCAGGAGGAAAAATCCTAAGGAAAGGATTTTTCATAAAAGATGTCTGTGACATGCTGGGTGCACTGGGCAGCCCAGGGAGGGGGGTTCCCAGTTCTGTTCCCAGCAGGAGCCTGGCTGGGGGCTGCCACTGCTGTCCCCTCTCTCCTTTTCTCTTTTCCAGGTCGCCCATGGATGGAGGCACCTCAGCAAGCACGTGGCTCCATCCAGCGTGACAGGCAGAAAATGTGAGTGAAGGTGTGAGCAGGGCTCAGCAAACCAGGCAGGATCCACACATCCCTCCCTGCCCAGGCTGCTGCAGTCCCAGCTGCACCCTCTATGTGCCTCCATCCATCCTTTGGTGCTGGCTGGGCCCAGCCCCATCCAGCAGAGCTGCAGCCATTCCCCAAGAGCAGAAGCCAGCTGGAGGCAGCTCAGAACAAGCCACTGGCCCTGGCTCTGCCCCAGGACACAGCACAGCCCTCCCTGCCCTGGGTTGACTGTGCCTGCTGAAGCTCACCGAGGAGCATCCTCCTGCTCTGCTGCTTTTGGGAGCTCCAGGAACAAGAGTCTGGTCAGCAGCAGCTTCAGTCACCTTGCACTGGAGTGAGGGATTGCAGAATTTACCCACTGACTTCCTTGTGGACCAGATCCATCCTCTCCAGCTGCTCCTGCACATGTCACAACCCTGGGATGGCTCCTTGGGAGAGCAGCCAAGGGCAGGCGGCTCCCCAGGCACAGCTGAGGG